CCCCTCCCCCCTTAAAACCAAAAAAACCCCTTCCCACAATGACTACCCTTGCAAAACTAACAAAATCTATCCTGTACAAAACAACAAAAGACTTCCGTGCAAAACTACCATTTAAAGGCTTTCCAAAATTTAATTTTTTCTAGAAAATTTTTTCAAATATTTTAAATCTTATTCTTCTCCTCTTCCACCTTTGTATCTCAGTGAAGTGTTGGGAGGAGATGTAAACTTCGTTGATGAGCCTCATTCAATGAGTACTCTTAAGATTGATTTTCATTTCTGTAGCGTTCTTTATCTGCCATCACCCTCACTCCATATTTCCCAGATGTCTCCGCTCGGTCTATACCCGTTTGTAACTTTTTAGTGTGGCTCGCTGTGGTAGATAGTACCACAGCATTCTTGTTAGGTGTCAAAAACCAATTCATTTGCTGTTCTTTTGATGACCTATAAGACTGGCTTTATTATTCCTAGCATTCATTTGATTTCGTGTTTTCGCATTCTGTCTTTCCTTGAAACTCCAGCTCTGTCTAAAGCATTTTGTCTCTGTTGTCATAATTTTACGTTCATTAGAGGATGTAAGTGTCCACGTTTAAGCTGATACATTTGTAATTTATATATTTATAAATCTAACGATCGCTAATTAAAAACATATATTTTAAATTCACAAATCTCAACAATTACTAATTGACATACACTTTACACACATAACTATCAACAATCACTATTTCAAACTTTCAATTTACATGCACTAATCTCCACAATCTCTAATTCATACACGCAACTCACACTTCTCTGATGAGTTTCATTTGCTAGTGTGTTTGACATGACTGCTGAAGTGATTGTTACTGCTCATTCATTGACTGATCTGTCATATCACTGCTCAAACGTGAGTATTCCTTGATGTGCTTGCTCAGAAACGCACAGTTCTGATATGTGGCTGCTCAAACACTCACTGTTTCCTGGTTACAAATTAGCTGAGTGTCCTCTGTTTAAGTAAAAGTAAAAGACCATGTTTTAATATGAAGCCGAGTCAGTGCAATAAATTCTACACATGTGGCATCATAAACACATATAAGTTACTGTTAAAGAGAAAGTAAATACATATGCAGACCATTCAGAATCAATATCATATAAGAAAAAAGTTAGCACAGAATGAATCTTGGTTTTTTTTTTTTCCTTGTGGTACGCGGTAAGTAAAGGACCCTTTTCCACGCCTACAGGCGTTTTAGGCAAATAGGGCTAGACTCATTCTACAGACCTTTCAAAACTCGGTGATGTAGTCAGCATCATGCTGGCCACTTTTACTTCTCAAGACCCATTTAAGGCTGGGTCAACCTGGGAGTTAATTAGGTCATTTCTGACAAAAGTCTAGAGTCTACAGGACCTAGACCCACAACCAACGGATCTGCAGCTGAGTGTCTAGCCGCTACACTAGGGCAGCTTCCAACGGTACACAGTATCAGTCTCTTTTAGGCATCATAAATCTGGTGTTGAACATGAGTTACCCAGAAGGTATCCTATTTTAAAAACAAATGCATATCTATCTGTGTTTCCTGAACTGCCAGCCTACTCAATTTTAAACAAAGTGGAAAGATATTTGTTTAAATACTCTACAACAGGAGGAAGCGTATATGGTTAAGGCAGTAAAGAAAGCAAGCAGCAGACATATTTTCCCTCAACATCTTAAACGGTAAAAAAGTCAAGCAGAAGAAAAAAATATTATGATGCTCTTTAAAGGTTTTTTTTTCTTTACATTCACCAGCTATAAACTTCGAAAGTTCTGGCTGTTTATCCATTTCTGAACTTTAGTTTTGTACCAGAAATTGAGTGCATGCATATCCATCTTACAAATATGGCTTATCTGTATGCAGACTGTTGGTTAAATGCCTTCGAAGGAAACCCCTAATTAGTCGACTCCTACGACATGCTCTTTAGGGAGGCAGTGAGTCTATTCTTGATTTCCCCACGGTGGGGCCCTGGAACCTGCAGGGAAGGCTCCCTCAAATATAATCTTTCTCAGAGAATAGCTGCAGGGAAAATAAGGAGGTTAGAATTGGAAAATAAAATCTTAGACTTAAAACATCAAAGAATCAACATGATACAATATTTCCTCAGTTATGTCTTTCGTAGCGACTGTGGCTTAGGGGTTGCGAGTCCGACTCGTAATTCCAACGTACAGCAATCTTTAATTACTGCTGACTGTGTGGGATTTTATCATGGTATGGGGCGTCACAGGTGGACTTAGCCTAAAATGGATACCAGGATGGCTGTCCTGGGAAAGTAAAGACAGCTGATGTAATGCTGGCCATATTGCCCACCTAGTGCCGATTGGTTTGTAAAAATATGGGATGCTCTTGTCATATGCCCGATGCACCTAAGGCATCTAACTGATCTACTATCTATTATCTTCAATTCCAATCTGTGTTCGATGTATTGTAATTGATTGTATTCAATTCGGTCATCCTGTCGCCATAAAGTTGAAGTATTTTTCTCATCTATAGTGGTCACTATACTAAACTCTACATAATAATATAAGGTAAGTAATAACAAGTTGCTGATACCGTATTTATTATGCATATTAAAACAAGACATTAGAGAACTTCTGTATTTAAATGTAGTAATTACGTTCGTTACGTTAGCGTTGTTTCGAAGACGGGTATCAAAGTCAAAGTCAATAATGTCTAATAATGACTAAGGATTGTTTTCGATACATACATGATACAGTGTTTCATTATTATTACTTTATCAACACACTGTCATTCTTGCGCTGAGATGCTAAACTATACATAAATCAGCAGTACATTTAGACAATACAACAGTAATGCTGTAAGGGATAGGAGGTACGAACGTTGATGTGAGACACACGATCGGAAACTACACGCCTGGAGAACACATCCCAGCAGAAGAAAGGTCGAGGTCGCAGTATAAAAACCTGAACATTTCAGAAACGAATTAAATCTTTTAGGCATTACAGTTTTGATCCAAATATAAAGGGCTTGACAACTTCACATTATTGCAGGGTTAAAAACTGTATACACAAGGGAGATGCATGGTCGTAGACCACGAGGTAGACAAAGAAGACGATGGAGATAATGTCCAGACATACCTGCAAACACTTGGTGACACCAATTGGAAAGAGTAGGTCAACCAGAGAGATGAATGGAGGCGGGTGATATCTGCAGCAATGAACCTCTACAATTACAAACAAAGATACATAAAATCACTTGTTATATTATTACAGAGCCGCTGTGGTGTAGCGGCTAGAAGCTCGCCAGCGAATATGAAGATCTCCCCCAAAGCATCCTAGAAACTGGAAGACGTTCTGTGTTTCCTAAAAATTTTTTGACGGCACTTCTTTGTCTGTTCCCGCTTCTGCACCTTCAGGTGTCTACCATGAGAGTTATTGAAAGACATCTTTCTTCTTCTCCGGTGTTCTCACAACACTGTCTCGCAGACGCCCTATTACGCCAGACTGAAGTGCAGCGGGGACCGTTTCTGGGACCTTGTACGTGTTCTTTTCTTGACTAGAATCGACCATGGAAGGTGGTCGCTTCCATGATGTCCGAGTACACTCCATTGGCAGAGTACACTACTGATAGGAGAGATCAGAGCGTGCGATTAAGGGCATTGACTGTATCATCTTCTCTGTCGGACATTCTGGTGGGTTTGCCATTGTTCAAGCAGATAAAATCTGTCTTTTAGTGCTTCCTCTAATGCAGCTCAACCTGTTTGTCGACCGTCGTATTGCCCCATAGCCGATGCCCGGCGTTAAAGTCACCACACATGATGACGTCGGTGGTTATCTGCTCGCACATGCTAGTTAAAATTGTCATCTTCTCTTTGTCCCCTTAATTATTACAGCCATAGTTGTTGATTAAAGTGACAGTGTTTCTTCTGCTTATCTTCACTTGAATTTCACTGTTGATCCACGCACTTATGTCTAAAAATGGGGATTTATGGGCCATAAACAGAACGCCATAGGTCGTGTTGTGTAGAGGGTCACATCAGGAAGGGAGTGAGAATGAAGGAAGAAATGATTACAGAAAGGATGAGAGTTGAGGGTCTGAGAAGAAACAGACTAAACACAAATGTCTACAAAAGTGGTCCTGAAATCCCATGCTAGAATTGTGGAAGACTTATTTTCAACGCAGGTGGGTCTTGCTAGTCACACTCGTCATCGCCATGGGCTTTGAGTACCATGCCTCCTCATAGCGCAATATAACACTATCGCCTGGAAAGATGGAAATGTGTCAATCAATCATACCGCACCTGACTACAATTGCCAAGCTTAGGTGTTTGCTGTTGTAGTAACTTTAGAAGTCGGAGACATTCAGAGCTTCCTCCGTGTCTCCTGAAGCGTGATCACGTTGGCATAAGATAGCTGTTTCTCCAAGATCGGGCCTATCTGTTGAACGCTCCGGCAGTTTCAGCGAAGATGATCTTTGCCGAGACATTCAGACTTAGTTTGGCTTTTGCGTGCATCAGCATCTCTATTGCGTCGCCTTCAGCCATACTGTCCTCTTCTCCTTCTGTACCGTGTAGATGTTGCTGCAACTGATTTCAGCGCGGATGCACGACCTCTGTAGCTCCCACGAGGATCGAATTTATGCTTATTCAATTAGTAATTGTCTACCATGTTTAGTGAATACAATAGTGAGTTTTTTTTAAATATTTTTCATATACAAAGCGTTGTGACTATGCGGAATGCAATTTTTAGTTATTTTGAAGCCCAACCCTAGCTTTTCACGGGAGGCCTAAATATAGCTGGACCTTAAATATAGCCTAACGGCTAAATGGGATTTCCTGGACCTCTCCACGGGTGATCCTCATCCGCATTGTGGCACTTTGTGTCACCGGGTGTTTATCGCTTGTGTGATGTCCTGGTGGGGTAAAACTTACCTACTTACCTATTAACGGTAATCCCAGTCGTGCACTCCTGTCTGGGAAAGGGTCGTGGACGAAACGTCCGGCATCCAGGAGTATGGCTTGGATTGTTACTCTAGTAAGTACTTGGCAAAGGTTGTCAGGGAAAAAAAGATGGTTGGGGAGGGGGAGTAGCTATTATGCCCGATTATCAGCACCCCCGTGCTATCGAACTCTAGTGCTTATGGGAGATGGTTGAAGGAGTGGGAGCTGTTGTACATGAGTATAAGTTTTGGCACAGGATAAAAGTGACATTTTGGGTAGGAAAGTGCACGAGGTGGAGGATTTCTCGAGAGGCAGGGTTTCCTTAAATCAGGCTGTGATGAGAGCGACTTTCTGCAAAGGACCTGCTGATAATTTTTTTTTAAAGTCACAATAGACCGTTAAATTGTTTAAGAGAATGGCGCTGCGAGGAGTTACCAGGGGATCTGGCCGACTCTCAAGGCTCAAGGGAAAAACAGGACGAATATAAAATCAGACAGTTACTGGTACCATTGGAACTCTTCACATGTTGCCGACGATTGGAACGGAGCGCGTATGGGAGTATCCCGACTGATATGATGTCGATTTCTTTTTATTCAACATCACTTGTATAGATGTAAAGTAATATGAGTTCCCATTATTCTGTCTCATGATATAATCTAATGATATATTACCATCTTAAATGCAAACTTTAGTTCTTGTGATGCACTGTCTAATCAGTCTCATTCTCGAGAATCTAGAGATATCCCTGGCATGTTTTATATTAGCGATTGGCAGCGGGTCATACATTCATTAAGGATTGGGGGGGGGGGTAGAGAGGCGGTCTTTGAGAGTTCAAATTTATCGCATGATAGTGCTCAATATTTTATGTTACTGACATTAGGAAAAAGCGTCGTCTGTTTAAAATAAAAAAGCCACTCCTAGGTGCAATATGTAACAGTAGTATTACGCACACTGCCAGGTTTGTTATTTAGACTTACCTTTCCAACTCTTCATCGCGCTCGTCAAAGGGCTGCCAATGATGGGTTTTTACCCTCAGGTCTGGGTTTTTATTTGACTCATTGGGTTCAAATTTTGAAATCGAGTTTAAAAAAAAAAATATCCTTTTGTAAAAGTGGGTAAACGTTCCGTTTCATAACTATAAAATTTGTGCTTTTTAACAATCTTGGTTTTTTGTTTGTTCTTTGCTAATGTATTGCTGGGGTTTTTGTTCAGCTTAGTTTAGTTGGGTTTTTCAAAAAATCCCATTGGCAGCCCTGGCGTCATTTCCACGTCATAGAGACGGATTGTATTGTATTGTTTAAACATCTGGTAAACACCAAGCTTTCATACGGTTTTTTTTTCTTTTAGTCCGTCATGTCTTCACAAAGTAACTGGCTGTATTATTTAGCTGTGCCGCTAGAACCGCGCTGTTTATTATTGTTCATAAACATTTGACTGCATTGTTTATGTCGGGAGTTTGAGAAATAAACAGCTGTGATGGAGTGAGAAAAGGAACTCACCCGTTGTCGATAGTTTTCTCATACATAACAAAGAACTTATAAGAATTGTAGTCTGTAATCTCTCTGAATGCATTGCGTTATTAATTCAAAGAAAGCATAAATTGGCATAAGACCTATAAACAGTAGGTAAGCTAGAAAAGGGTCCTTTATCCTGCTTTGATGCGTAATATTAATATTTATTGGGTTTATAAAATTACTGTTATGTTAGTTAATAAGTTGTTACTAGTAATACTAGTTTAGAGTGATCTAACTATCTGGGCATTGTTCATACTCATACAGTACAGTAATTGTGTAGACTAGTATCTCTATGTAAACATGGGAGTCGCCGTGGCCGAGCAGCTAGACGGGCGCCACGGATCGGAAGGTTGTGGGTTCGCTCCCTGGCGGAGCCGGACTTATTTCAAAAATGACCTTGGCTCTCAGGTCGCCCAGCCTTGAGTGGGTACCGGGTGCAGTCCCAGGAAAGTAAAGGCGGCCGGCGTGATGCTGACCACATCACCCATCTTGTGCCGATTGGTCTATAAAAATATAGGCCCTATATGCCCTATACGCCTAAAGGCGTGGAAAAGGGTCCTTTACTTTACTTTTTACTTCTATGTAAACATAAACGAAGTCGTTAATTACAGCAACTAATTTATTTAATAATTTACTAAGGAATTTGCTGCTAAACTAAATGCCTGTAGTAACCAATACCACCTTCCCTTTTTAACTCACCAGTTTGTCATCAGTGAGCTAGATATCCCAATTCATAATCTGCGACCACTTTTAATTCCCAGAACATTTTCTGGGTTTCTGTTCTATGCTAGATGGAATACTAAGTTCATATTCAACACAAACTGACTAAAGCTCAACAGGAGAAACAGAAACAGATGTACACAGATACATTATAACCAAATGTTTGGACCAAAGCCTGGATGGTGACTCATGGACTTTTGAGCCGGGATAAATTTTAACATGAAGCAGACCTTTCCTTACCCGCATAGGACTGAGGGTTGCACATAGTTTGTGCCCTAATTATAACTTATTTAGAGGTTGAACGATGTATCTGAGATCCTACTACTTGTTGTCCATAAGTCCAGCCTTTTCGTGCTGCATGCTCCAGTGCAGCAGCCATCTAAGGTCTCCAAGCTCACTGCACCCTTTAAGAGCTAACTGGCATATATTCTGCATTCTTGTCCTTGTTTAATATCCATTTCCAACAGGCCGTACTTGTATGTGTCTCCATTATCTCAGTGCCTCTGGAATGCAGCAAATTCATTATGTCTGCATTGTCCATACTTCTTCCTCTCCTAACCACTCTAGACAAGGCTAGTCTGTCAGCTTTTTCAGTTCCTTTCACCCCAGCGTATCTTACTGTGTACAGCTAAGATAGTTTCCTGAAGTAGGAATTCAGGATGCTGTCAACCCATTGCAGTCGGAGTTTGCCAGTTTGGATTTTCTTAAGTATGCTCATTGAGTCTGTCACTATCATTACATACGATGCTGTTTTCTGTTCCACCAGCCTTGCAAATACCCCTTGACAGCTGTCATCTTCATCATCGTGATAGAAGTAGTTGAACTGAAAGCCTGAATGTCTTCCTTGACTGTCTTGCCATTTCCCTGCCCAATATATGCCCACTCAGACTGCACCCCACCATCACTGAGCCATCTATATAGGTCATGACATCTCCTGGCCGAGAATGCTTGTGGATTGGGGCCATTATTTCAGCGTCAGTGGCCATTTGGCTCCATTCTGTAGAATACCTGACCAGGGTGATTATTATCTCCATATGCTCTTTCATTCCTTCAGGTGTTTCTATCCACTCAGCACCAAACCTGATATTCTCTGGTGGGCATATTTGGCTAATGTTGTCCTCTGCTTCCACCATCCAGGACCGCTCCCTTGTTAGGCGCCTACCTTTGTTCGCCCATGGGCAACTGTGCATAGGGTGTTTTGTGTCAACAGGAAGACCCAGGTACGCCTTCACATGAGCCATCTGTGGCTAGTGACGCTGTTTAGCAGGTTGAGGATATATCGGATGGCTTTTACATGGCATGTCACTTGTACCTTCGAGGATCAATATTATGGCTCAATTTTGCACTTTCTCTAGTTTTTCCAGCTGATGCCTCCTGACTATTAGCAGGCCAAGCCCATAGTGTCACTAAGAGCTCTAAATTGACATAAAGCATGAGCAGCAGTCTTTGTTCTGTCTTAGCTGCTACCATCATCCTGAATGAAACCATGCCTTTATCAACCTTTATAATGACATCATCAGCATGATATCTGAAGGGCAGACATCTGTCGAAGTGCATACCAAGATTCTAGTGACCGTTCAATATCATCTCCACACATACTAACATTAGGCATGGGTCTCTTCTTTAGTGAGAACCATGTCACTGTAGCCTTAGCTTGGTTTGCTCTAGCCTCTGATTTGTCACACCATCTGATCAGTCTGTCAAGTTCCCACTGCATTGTTGTAGCCTCTGATTTGTCCCACCATCTGATCAGTCTGTCAAGTTCCCGCTGCAGTGCTCTAGCCTCTGATTTGTCACACCATCTGATCAGTCTGTCAAGTTCCCGCTGCAGTGCTCTAGCCTCTGATTTGTCACACCATCTGATCAGTCTGTCAAGTTCCTGCTGCAGTGCTCTAGTCTCTGATTTGTCACACCATCTGATCAGTCTGTCAAGTTCCTGCTGCAGTGCTCTAGCCTCTGATTTGTCACACCATCTTATCAGTATGTCAAGTTCCTGCTGCAGTGCTCTAGTCTCTGATTTGTCACACCATCTGATCAGTCCATCAAGTTCCTGCTGCAGTGCTCTAGCCTCTGATTTGTCACACCATCTGATCAGTCTGTCAAGTTCCTGCTGCAGTGCTCTAGTCTCTGATTTGTCACACCATCTTATCAGTCTGTCAAGTTCCTGCTGCAGTGCTCTAGCCTCTGATTTGTCACACCATCTGGTCAGTCTGTCAAGTTACCGCTGCAGTGCTCTAGCCTCTGATTTATCCCACCATCTGATCAGTCTATCAAACTCCTGCTGCAGTGCTCTAGCCTCTGATTTATCCCACCATCTGATCAGTCTGTCAAGTTCCTGCTGCAGTGCTCTAGCCTCTGATTTGTCACACCATCTGATCAGTCTGTCAAGTTCCTGCTGCAGTGCTCTAGCCTCTGATTTGTCACAGCATCTGATCAGTCTGTCAAGTTCCTGCTGCAGTGCTCTAGCCTCTGATTTGTCACACCATCTGGTCAGTCTGTCAAGTTCCCGCTGCAGTGCTTCAGCCTGATGCATCCCACCATCTGATCAGTCTGTCAAGTTCCTGTTGCAGTGCTCTAGCTGTCTCCTCTCTGTCTGATAATCAGGTAATCACAGGTCCAACTTAATAGCAAATGGGTCAGCTCTTAGTACTCTGTTCCTGTGCCAACGAAATACATACTGAATGTCCATCACTGCCCATGGTGAAAAAAAATTGGACATATTGTGGCAAATATGTGTATCAGATGCATAAGGCAGCAGTTGTGAGTGCCAACACAAACAGTCCTACACTAGAAATGCAGCTCATTGTCGAGGAAGCAGAGATTAGTAGTTGCGCAAACAGTTTATTGCATAAGGCACCACAGGTTCTCTGGCAACAGGCCCTTGCCATTTTCTTCCGTTCCAAAAACCAATCCTGGTCATTATTGTTGAGCCTCATAGCATACATGTCTTGTTGCCGATATCTGCAGATAACAGATGTACAACTAACATTCAGGCTTGCATTTTATTTGAAATTGAGATGAAACATTATATGTAAATTTTGAAATATTGCATTTGACCATTTCAGTCCTGCCATGGCAGACATCAAATTATCTAATTCAGCTGCTGTCCCGCCAGATGATGACAACTTTGAGCGGGACCTACAGGAGATGTTGGAAGATGGGCCTAGTCTGAACGACGTCACTTCCAATGTCCAGGGTGGGACTCCGAACTCAGTGTCTGCAACATTTGCAGAACAAGTTGGTCCATTTTCTGCTGGGCCAGCCCTTCAGGGATGACTTTGATGGGCGGCTCTAGTGGTATCTACGGATCTAGCATACCTACTACCAGGCTGACACGTTCCTATACAGTCCCCCCTGGTATGTTTTATGGTTCATTGTTGTTGTTGTTTTGAGGAGTGGCTGGTCGAACACTTTAGAACACTGGGCTCTCATAATTTTGGAAATGATTTTTAAAAAAAACCACATACACACACAAATAGGACAGTCCTCTTCAAGACAGAGGAAAAACTGTAAACTTCTTCTTCTCATACTCCCTGCAAGTGGTTTTCAGATGAGAAAGCCTTAGGCCTCTCTGAAGTTTTGTGGTGCAATGCATGTTCTCCACAGCTTGGTTTCTATTGGAATGCAGTCAGCCAAACCTTGGATTTTTTTACTGCATGTACGTAACATAACATAGCACTTGACCCATTAGGGTCACGGAGGTGTATCGATGGAAGCACTTGCACACAAAACCCACCATCTTGCTCTTGTCTTCTGCTTGACAAAAGAGTGTATGTTAACTTAGTCCTGTCCATTTCTTGATATTGTCATTCCACATTGTTCTTTGCCCTCCTCTTCTTTGACTACTTCTCCCCCCCCCCCCCAGTGTCTTTTGAAGTGGAGTCTTTGCAGTCGAATCAGGTCTCACCACATGCCTGAACCAAGCTAGCTAGCTACTGCATGTAGCACATGTTCAGTATTCTGTGGTGCCTGTCCACAAGGGCAGTGTTCTAAATCCCCAATCTTGAATTTCTTGTACATGTGGCTGCAGAGTCCCTTGTGTCCAATACGCAATATAAACTGATGAGAGCAATTAGATATAGACAGACAGTGTTTTAGACATATTATGGGAAGGAGTGGGCGCAAGAACTAGGTAATGGTGGACAGGGAAAGTCGATGTGATACATGAATGGCTTAGCCATTAGGATGGGCTGAGACAAAATGCTGATCTGATCTATGAGCCATTAGGATGGGGTGAGACACAAATGCTGAACTGATCTATGAGCCATTAGGATGGGGTGAGACACAAATGCTGAACTGATCTATGAGCCATTAGGATGGGGTGAGACACAAATGCTGAACTGATCTATGAGCCATTAGGATGGGGTGAGACACAAATGCTGAACTGATCTATGAGCCATTAGGATGGGGTGAGACACAAATGCTGAACTGATCTATGAGCCATTAGGATGGGGTGAGACACAAATGCTGAACTGATCTATGAGCCATTAGGATGGGGTGAGACACAAATGCTGACCTGATCTATGATTGTGGTGATTGTGAGAGATGGCGTAGCAATGCAGCCTACGCTTATCAGCAGGTCACATGATGATGATGAAGAAGTATGTTGAAAAATCAGAATTGACATCACAGCACTCGTGACAATCCCATAAGTGCTCTGTCCTCATCTTCAGTAGCAAGCAAAGAGTTCCATTTTGATGGCACCAGTAATAGTCTGGTTGTGTATCCTTGTTCCCTTGAGTCATTTTTCGCAGCACCAATCTTCTCAGACCATAATGATCTGTTTGTGCCTCTACACTGTTCACTCGCTCCTAACGGACACTTACATCTAGCTTGTCATGCTGAAAAGATAGTAATTATTTGGCCCGCCTTGTGCCTTGTAAATGGCAGTATAAAAGGTTGCCTATGAGACTGGCTGTCTCATCTTATAAAAACTTCAGCAACACAGCCATGAAGAAACCACCATGGCTGTCTGAGGACCTGTATACCATTGGGAGGAAGAAGGATGTAATATAGTTATGTTAATGTACAGTGAATTTGAATAAAGAAGACACAAACAATTGATTGCACAATTTATTACCTGGCATATTTTGCTGTATCTCATCAGATGCATACTACAGTACTAATTGATTAAAGGAAAACAAATAAATAATCTGATCCTTCCAGTTGAAAGACAAAATCAACTACATTTAAAAGTAATTGTCTGTTTTACTAGGGTAAATCAAAGTAACGATTGTGTCCTTTTGTCTGCATAATTCTGGACTAAATCAAAACTGACTGAATCAGGTGACTGGTCTAAAAATTACCTGTCAGCCATTATACACCATATTTTGAAATCTGGGCACATTGTAAACAAGGATAATGCATTTAAAATTCTTTATACCTAAGCCAAGCCCAGATTATTGCAATTCATGGAAGCAGCTGCTTTATACCAGTTGTCACTTCAACTTCTTTAATGATATTATTTTACCCATTTTAGACCCAGGAAGCCACGGTGGTGTGGTGGATCCGAAGGTCATGGGTTCAGATCTAGATGGAGCCAGAGTTTACAGCTGGTGAACACAAAGAAGAAGAAGACATCCACCTTCGGACTATAGTCTTGTTTACAGAACCTGAGTTTTACATGTGCACATGCACTTTTCAAATCTTGTTTACTTTGTACGAAATGTGCTGATTCTTCGCCTCTCACACCATTGCCCTCGACTTCAAATAAAACCTGCTAATTTGTTGCCTCCTGCTACATGTTTGTTATGTGGGGTTGGAAGGGGAGGGGGGTTGTAGTGGGTTTATTTTGTTTCACTCCCACAATGGGGCCCAGGAACCCCCACAGGGAGCCTGGGTCTGAAAGAACTAAATACTCAGTATTTGTTGAACCCACTTTCGTTTTAATTAATGATTTTTAAAAATTGTAATGAATATTTCAGCTACAAGTAACGTACCCTTGTCCAGTTCAGGAAACTCCGGATCTAACAGTGCAAACAACAGCCCAAATGGAGACTTTATACCTAAATCTGTGAGCCTTCTGGCTGCTCAGAGCAGGATAGAGACGCTTAAGGAATGGAGCGTGAACACTTTCAAAACCACAAAACAGTTTGTGTCCGAAAGGTTAGGCAAGGGGTCCAAAACTGTTGACCTCGAGGTGGAGAGCAGCATTGAGTCGCTGAGAGACACTCAGAGAAAGTATGCAAATATCCTTCGCTTGGCTCGAGCCCTGACGACACATTTCGCTAATGTTGTGCAGACACAGAAGGCTCTGGGAGAAAGTTTCTCGGAGCTGGCTCAGAAATCGCCAGAACTTCAAGAAGAATTTATTTATAATTGTGAGACACAGCGAACTCTAGTCAAGAATGGGGAAATTCTCTTGGGTAAGCTCTGTTGATGTCAGGTCATAATGTCAGTTTCTGTGTAAATACATTTTGTTTATATTAACTGTGTAATAACTAGCGTTTTTAAGGCCTAAAGAGTATTTGAGTAGTGTTGTCATCATCATCATGTGCTTTGCCAACTGACATAGGCGCTCATGCATCTCCACAGATCACAATCGCTGGTTGCCTGGAACAGCTCTCTTGATGATATCCCTCGATGCCATCATTTCAGCCCATCCAGCATCATCTCTCTTGGTCTGCCTCTACCCCCTTTTCCACTGATCTTTCTAGTTGTCACGATGTTCTCCAGTGTCTCTTCTCATGATATGGCCAAAAAACTGTGTTTGTCTCTTTCCTATTGAGTGGTGTGGCCTAAAAATATTTTCAGTGGTGTAACCTTAACAATATTTGAGACGTTTTGTTCTGGCTCGTGCTCACTTGCTGTTTTTTTTTGGCCAGCCATGTCCAATTTAGGGGAACATCATTAGCAAACACATTTGTGTTGAATTTTATTGTACTGTGTTTTTTTAAAGAAACCCAAAGAAAACACAGGATAAGTGTTGTAGTTATCTTAAAAGAAAATTAAGAGAGAAGTAGAAAATAATGGAAATAAAATAAAACAAATATTGTATTTTATGCATATTGTTGGCACATTGTGTTGTGGTTTACAGCTAGGCTGCAATGTCTGCCCTTTAAGCTCAACACATTTAGGCTCATAATTAGTGTCTTGTTAAACATGCTGCTTCTTCTCTAGTCCTGTTCTGCCTTTCACCGTCAGGTTTTGAAGAGTCATCAGTAATTATGGCCTTGGATATTCCATCTATCAGTGGCTTGCACGGTCGATCTCTGTTAATGCTTCCATTGCGTCTAAGTGACAGGGCCTCTCTGTGATGAACTGTCAAGAGGAAGTCTTGATACATGTCCGAACATCTTGCATGTTAAAGGGTACAAATTCATTGTGTAACAAAACCATCTAACATTTTTCTTTTTTTTTTCTTGTAGTTTTTCTGTATTATGATCGACTGTTTGTTTTCAGTGTTCTCCAGAAACACTAAATTTTATTACCTCATCCGGGAACACATTATGTAACAAAACCATTAAATGTTGTTTCTTTTTTCTTCCTGTAATTTTCTATATAATGATCACTGTCTGTTTTCATTGTTCTCCAGGAGCCCTCAATTTCTTTACTTCATCCGTGAACACATTATGTAACAAAACCATAGAGGACACACTGTTGACGGTCAGCCACTATGAAAGTGCCAGGTGAGTTCCTGCTTCTAGCCAGCTTTGCTAAACTATAGTTCTTGATGTTAGAAGCCCTTGGGTTGACGGCTTAAAGCGGCTTCTTTTGCTGTTTTTTATATGTATATAGTAAATAAGAGAGAGGACAGCACACATCCCTGCCTCACCCCGGTATTGATTGTAAACATGTCGGTTATGCCTTCTTGTGTTCTCTCTGCACTTTGGGAAGTGTGGTACTTGTCAATGATATTATCTAGCACTGTCCTTGTATCCCATAATTCTCAAGAATAGCCCATAGTTTGTTTCTGTCTACTCTGATAAAGGTTTTTTCTTAATCTACAAACACAATATTCAGTTCATCATCATTTTCAGTGGTTTCTTTCACAAATTTGTCTTAGTAAAAAAAAAATTAAACCTGGAATTCTTTTGACACATTATTTGTGATATGTTTGAGAGAGAGAGAGAGTTAAAACTTGGAATTGAAATAGATCTGTAAAATGACTTACATAATCTATTATCATATGTGTTTGCTTGGCACTGTTTTCTTTTACAACAGCAACAACAAAAAAACAACGTATAATTTGTTAAATTGAATCTTATATGTATCAGCTGTTGCCCAAGTTAGAATATAATTCAGGACTTTAATCAGACATATGTGATCTCTTGTTCAGATTAGAATACGACGCTTACAGAGCTGACTATGAAGGTCTAGAGGCTGGTCCAAGAGAGGCAGCAACACAGCTGAAGCTACAGGACGCTAAGAGGAAGTTTGAGGAGCATAAGATTAAGTTTGAACGACTGCGAGGAGATGTCCAGATTAAACTCCGCTTTCTGGATGAAAACCGGGTAACTATGTTAATTTGAACTGTAAAAGACACAGTAAAACAGTATTTCTATTCCTTCGTCTAGCCACTGCACTACTAGAGGAGATAAGAACCTACACAGCACTTGAGACATTCTCATACACAGCACTTGAGACATTCTCATACATAGCACTTGAGACATTCTCATACACAGCACTTGAGACATTCTCATACACAGCACTTGAGACATTCTCATACACAGCACTTGAGACATTCTCATACACAGCACTTGAGACATTCTCATACACAGCACTTGAGACATTCTCGTACACAGCACTTAAGACATTCTCATACACAGCACTTGAGACATTCTCATACACAGCACTTGAGACATTCTCATACGCAGCACTTGAGACATTCTCATACACAGCACTTGAGACATTCTCATACACAGCACTTGAGACATTCTCGTACACAGCACTTAAGACATTCTCATACACAGCACTTGAGACATTCTCATACACAGCACTTGAGACATTCTCATACGCAGCACTTGAGACATTCTCATACACAGCACTTGAGACATTCTCATACGCAGCACTTGAGACATTCTCATACACAGCACTTGAGACATTCTCGTACACAGCACTTAAGACATTCTCATACACAGCACTTGAGACATTCTCATACACAGCACTTGAGACATTCTCATACGCAGCACTTGAGACATTCTCATACACAGCACTTGAGACATTCTCATACACAGCACTTGAGACATTCTCGTACACAGCACTTAAGACATTCTCATACACAGCACTTGAGACATTCTCATACACAGCACTTGAGACATTCTCATACGCAGCACTTGAGACATTCTCATACACAGCACTTGAGACATTCTCATACGCAGCACTTGAGACATTCTCGTACACAGCACTTAAGACATTCTCATACACAGCACTTGAGACATTCTCATACGCAGCACTTGAGACATTCTCATACGCAGCACTTGAGACATTCTCATACGCAGCACTTGAGACATTCTCATACGCAGCACTTGAGACATTCTCATACGCAGCACTTGAGACATTCTCATACGCAGCACTTGAGATATTCTCATACACAGCACTTGAGACATTCTCATACGCAGCACTTGAGACATTCTCGTACACAGCACTTAAGACATTCTCATACACAGCACTTGAGACATTCTCATACACAGCACTTGAGACATTCTCATACGCAGCACTTGAGACATTCTCATACACAGCACTTGAGACATTCTCATACGCAGCACTTGAGACATTCTCATACACAGCACTTGAGACATTCTCATACACAGCACTTGAGACATTCTCGTACACAGCACTTAAGACATTCTCATACACAGCACTTGAGACATTCTCATACACAGCACTTGAGACATTCTCATACGCAGCACTTGAGACATTCTCATACACAGCACTTGAGACATTCTCATACGCAGCACTTGAGACATTCTCATACGCAGCACTTGAGACATTCTCATACACAGCACTTGAGACATTCTCATACGCAGCACTTGAGACATTCTCATACACAGCACTTGAGACATTCTCATACGCAGCACTTGAGACATTCTCATACGCAGCACTTGAGACATTCTCATACGCAGCACTTGAGACATTCTCATACGCAGCACTTGAGACATTCTCATACGCAGCACTTGAGACATTCTCATACGCACTGCATCTCCATTTTCAGCAGGATATTGCAGAACCAGCCCCGGAATTTTTTTCCCTGTTGTGGTTTTTCTAGGCAAATTTTATGTTCGGTAGTTTGCCTTTGCCTTCTGAAAGGTAATCTTTTGATACCACTGTCAAAACCAACACAAGACAAACCGTGTGCAGCTGGGATGGAACCTGGCACCCCAGCATTATGAAGCGAGTTCACAACACTTAAGCAGCAAGCACAGAATTGCAGTTTTGATAGTACCAGTCTGATTGTGTGTCAGTCTTGTCTTTATACTGAGTGTTGAGCAACGGCCAGATCCTCTAGTCACTTCTTGCTGCACCATTTTCTTCAGACACAGATAATCCTCAAGGGGGCTTTAATGTTGAATGTCGAATTAAGAATCGACATCATAGCACTCAGGTCACTCCCATAAACACCTGTCCCCATCTTAAGCAGCAAGTGAAGAGTTCCAATTCTGAAGGCACTAGTACCTGCCTGATTGTATATCCGTCTCGCCTTTCCCTTGAGTGTTGAGCGTCGGCCAGATCCCCTTGTAATTCCTCGCAGCGCCATTCTCCTCAAACCGTAATGATATATCTGTGCCTCCACACTGTTCACTCTCCATCAAAGTGCCCTCACAACATAATGGAGGTAAATTGATGGAAGCACTAGCCCACAAAAACCACCATCTTTCTCTGTTTTCCACTTGTTGAACAAGTGTGAAGTCATTTAGTCCTGTCCATTTCTTAGTGTTGTCATTTCAAGCTCTCCCTCCCCCTTCCGTTTTTTTTCTTCCCTTTTCCGACCAGCACTCCCAATTTTCCTTGAAGTATAGTCTTTGTGGTTGAATCATGTCTCTTGAGGTGTCAAACTAGACTAGATTGCAGTGTTTCACGACTGCCAAAAGAGGTTCCTGATGTTCTGCAGATTGGTTTATTTTTGCCTCTGACATATTCGTTAGTTTCATGTTCTGAAAAGAAAATTTGTAAAAAAAAATTATAGCATAGTCATAGCATATAGTCTATAGCATTATGATTGAAAGCCTGAATCCTCCTTCCCGTTTCTGCAGTGAGAGTCCAACTCTCACATCCATATGTATAGATAGACCATAACTGTGACTAACTAAGGTTTGCTGAAATCACATGTGTTTGGCCGAAAGATGGAAATACAGCAGCTTAGCTGTATACCACAACACAGTGTGCCAATTGCCCTTTTGAGGGTGAAAGAAAAAAAGGAAGTATTCTTCTTCTCATAATCCATACCATTCAGTAGCTATGTCTACACACAACCTTTTGTCTTATGTACGTACTTCAAGTCAGTTCTGACACAACATGATCTTCCATGCCATGATGTCAGTTCTGACACAACATGATCTTCCATGCCATGATGTCAGTTCAGACACAACATGATCTTCCATGCCATGATGTCAGTTCTGACACAACATAATCTTCCATGCCATGATGTCAGTTCTGACACAACATGATCTTCTATGCCATGCTGTCAGTTCTGACACAACATAATCTTCCATGCCATGATGTCAGTTCTGACACAACATGATCTTCCATGCCATGATGTCAGTTCAGACACAACATGATCTTCCATGTCATGATGTCAGTTCTGACACAACATGATCTTCCATGCCATGATGTCAGTTCTGACACATTATGATCTTCCATGCCACGATGTCAGACACAACATGATCTTCCATGCCATGATGTCAGACACAACATGATCTTCCATGCCATGATGTCAGACACAACATGATCTTCCATGCCATGATGTCAGTTCTGACACAACATGATCTTCTATGCCATGATGTCAGACACAACATGATCTTCCATGCCATGATGTCAGTTCAGACACAGCATGATCTTCCATGCCATGATGTCAGTTCTGACACAACATGATCTTCCATGTCATGATGTCAGTTCTGACACAACATGATCTTCCATGCCATGATGTCAGTTCTGACACAACATGATCTTCCATGCCATGATATAAGTTCTGACACAACATGATCTTCTATGCCACGATGTCAGACACAACATGATCTTCCATGCCATGATGTCAGTTCTGACACAACATGATTATCCATGCCATCATATCAGTTCTGACACAACCTAATCTTCATTACATTACATACTCAGTAGTGTTGTGTTACAGTAAACATTGAGAAGTATACATTACATTACATACTCAGTAGTGTGTGTTACAGTAAACATTGAGAAGTATACATTACATTACATACTCAGTAGTGTTGTGTTACAGTAAACATTGAGAAGTATACATTACATTACATACTCAGTAGTGTTGTGTTACAGTAAACATTGAGAAGTATACATTACATTACATACTCAGTAGTGTTGTGTTACAGTAAACATTGAGAAGTATACATTACATTACATACTCAGTAGTGTGTGTTACAGTAATCATTGAGAAGTATACATCACATTACATACTCAGTAGTGTGTGTTACAGTAATCATTGAGAAGTATACATTACATTACATACTCAGTAGTGTGTGTTACAGTAAACATTGAGAAGTATACATTACATTACATACTCAGTAGTGTGTGTTACAGTAATCATTGAGAAGCGTACATGTGTAGTCTGTTTATATTTTCAGGTGAAAGTTATGCATAAGCAGCTTCTCCTCTTCCACAACGCAATCTCCGCTTACTTCAGTGGGAATGCATCAGCCTTGGAGGCCACACTCAAGCAGTTCAATATACAGCTGAAGCGACCCAATGCTGAAAAGCCCTCATGGATAGAGTCTTGAATTCCGTAGAGACACCTCATCTCATGTTGCTTCCCCAAAATGCTTGTACAATGTAATCTCATTTGTAAATAGATCAGCTTCTTTCTGATATGTAAACCTGCCTCGCAGAGTAGCTGTGTCATATGTGTTGGCTTCATAGTAGCTTCAGAAAGTAATTAGTGTCTCAGGCAAGCTTCTGAGGATCTGGACGGATTGGGAATGAGAACAGAGATGTTGAAAGAAAGAAATGAGAGAGACAATGGAAATATGTCAGCCACATTGAAAGACGTAACACTTACAATGACAGCCTAACGCATGGGTCCATGGGCCCAGCGAGTGCAAAGGCCTCATGCTAATCTGTAGATGTCAGGGGACTTGCCCTAATAAAATTCATTTCTGTGAGTAGTTGTCAAAGGGGCTGCAGCATACTTGTTCTCCCAGGTGCCCGTAATACTGTAAAGACGGTTATGAACACGTTTACCACTGTATTGGAGTGAAAAGTTGAAGGCCGGTGAGCAAGAGGTCAACAGTGACACAAATGGAAAGATACTATCAATAGATAAATGAACTGTTTGAGAGAATGTAAAATCAGGGCAAAAGACACAGTGATGGAGATCTAATGCAGTCTTGATTGTGGAGATATCATCTGATTGAGGGCCTGGACAAATACGTGCATATAAAACAAGTTCTGAAAGCAAGATCAAAGTCCAGAAGTGGACGAACAACTAGAACTTTCCACCAAAATTTACTACAGCTGGTGAACGGTAAGAAGAAGAAGAAGATAGGCATATGAAGAAGTAACATTTCAAAACTATATCTACAGCCTGTATATAATATTTATGTGCTTAATACATTATGTGAATGAATTGGTTGTGCTCCAGTTTATACAGAATGGAATGTCATTGTATTACATAACCCTTTTCATTTTTTGAGTGAAGCATGGCCAGTTTTCATTCAGTGCATTACTAAATGTTTGTAGTCAGTGTTTTCTTATGAATATGGTGGTGATAGATGCTGGTTTTGTCCTAAACATTCTCCATTTTATGGGCGTTTTTTGTGTTAATTATACTTATTTAGATATTTATTTTATTTATATGCATGTATGTATTGTTATCAAATGATCTTGTTCTTGAATCAGTCAAATGAATTCACTGAACACAATAGCTGGGAAACTCAACAAAGGGGAAGGGGGGGAAAACAGCACACATAGGAACAGCTGAACACTTTAGTGGAAGCCTTAGAGATGAGTAGTACAACAAGAGAGTCTTTTAACTTTGCAATAAGAGGGGTATATGACGTCATAATAGCCTTAAGATCCTTTTTTTTTCACCCTTGGCCCCCTTTCTCCTCCCAGATGCTTTTTTCTGTAAATATAATCATATCCAGGGCCCTCTAAATACAGCACAGGTGCAAACAGAACCAATGCTAGAACTTGGCTTCTCAGGGACAAGTAACTACAGAAATGCTGGGTCAGCTACATTTTCATGTAAACAAGTGTACCAGATAATGGCTATGACAACTGGTTGATGTATGTACACAGTGTCTTATACTGTTTATTCTGCAATGAATGTGCTTATGAGGCTGTGACATTAAACAATTTCCATTATTTTTGAGTGGGTATTTGTGTATAAAAAATACTTTTTTTCTAGTATCCAGCAGTCAAGACTGATGATTGCCAGTCGAGGTTTCCATGTTTAAGCTGTTTGTGACAGGCAGGCAGACAGAGCACTGTTTAGCAGCTTCTGTAGCAATCCTTGTTCAAAACATATTGTTCCCCATGTGGGTTCTGGGGCTTTATTATAGGGAAAACAAGAATAGACCCACTGCCTACCCAAAAGCATGTTGTAAGAGTCGATTATTTGGGAGCTTCCTTCGAAGTCAGATTGCCTGCCTGAGAGGCAAGAAACCAGCAGTCTGCATTTAAAAGAGTCAGATCTGTAAAACGGATGCACATGAAACACTCAGGTTCTGGAACAGGGCTGCAGTCCAGAAGTGGACGAACAACCAGAACTTTCTGCTGGAGTTTACAGCTGGTGATCGGGAAGAAGAAGAAGACATATTGATATAACCTTTTCTTTGGAATCAGTAAAGCTTGATAAATACAGTGATCTAGTGGCCAGTCTGAGGAGCGATGACAAGTATGCATGAAACTCTTTGCCGTCGAGGCAGGTACAATAGGGCAGTGTACTAAAGCAACTTGGCTTAAGAGGAAACAAGCATAAATGATCACTAAAGCAACTGGGCGAAGCTGCTGAAAGAGCTTTGAGCTGATTGTGGACACAACGTAACGATGTTGGGGACAGGCCTTGGTAGACTGGTCCGAGCCCTTAGTGTAAAAGAATGTTTACATCCCTGAGTAAACATAATTGAATAGCTCTGAAATAAAGCATGCCAAGAGAGGGATAAAACTGCATTAGCAACACCAGGCTTTGTGCAGTAGAGAGAAGGAATGAGCTGCCCTTGCTCCTCACACTCACCATCAGCATGAGCTGTAGTTCCCATGCCACCCTATAGCACAGTGGAACACTGTTGTCAGGAAATATAGAAATGGGGCAGCCTAGGCTCTGAAGTTTCAGACTCGTTCCTTCCAGTCTTTTATTTTTTTCTGATGGTCATTGCTGCAACAGCTGAGTTTGAGCTTAGTGCAGACACTTTGCAGAGACAGAGGAGATCAAACCTGGTGCAGTGAAGTTGTTCCTTTTGCCTCTAACTCTTTCAATACCAGACAGTGTTGAATTCAGCATTGTGTATGCTAAAGTTGGTGTACCCTGGAGTAACAATTTTTTAAGTCTCATAGAGCTGAAGAATACCTCTTAGTGAAAGAAGTTAAGTAACAACATGCTTCTTCTTCATGTTCACTGGCTGTAAACTCTGGCGGAAAGTTCTGGCTGTTTGTCCACTTCAGGACTCTAGTCCTGTTCTAGACCCTGAGTTTTGCATGTACAACTGTTTTACAGATCTGATTCATTTGAATGCAGACTGTTGGTTCTTTTTATCCTTGGCAGATGCACTCTGACTTTGAAGGAACTCCCAGTTAGTTGACTCCTCTGACATTTTGTTGTTGTTGGTAAGCAGTGGGTCTGTTATTGTTTTCTCCACAGTAGGACCCATGAACCCACACACGGATAACAACATGAAAATAAGGTGTTAACATGACAGAAGAATGGGATAGGAAAATTAAAGAAATGTTTACCAGATATAGTGTAATCAGGGAACATATGGTGGCCCCCTTGGTACCAAAAGAGTTTTTAATGATAACAATTGCATGCCGTCTCCACAGTGAATGTTTGCTGTAGTGTGCCCTCAGCTGTAGCTCTGGGAATGTTACATGGTGAGGTCTCTTCTATGGCACGGCCCTCCCATCATTGTATGAATGCTACCAGAACAGTGTAAAGTTTAAAAAAAAAAAGCATCTGCCTTGGGAATCGAACCTCGGTACATTGAGGATCTTGCCTTTAACCCTTTAGAGATGACTCGGCCAAACTGTTGGCCAGACAGCAAATGACAGGTTTTGTTACCAGCCTGTCAGATTGCTTCTTGCACACATGGAAGCTGTTTAGTGATAGCTTTCCTGAAAGTTTGTTTTGTTCTGTGAATTTACATAGATTTTTTGGATGTTACTTGTGTCCAACAATGGTGAAACGGTCTGTTGTGTTATAGCAACTAAAACATAGCAGTAAAAGAAGTAGAAACATGTGCCAGAGGTGTCTGGAGGCCTATATTGACCTTGCTTCCCAAAACACAAGTCTTAGGACTTTTCAGGCTTCATTCATCAGAAAATTTAGCCAGATTGTTCAGTTTAGTCATGGTTGTCCCAAGTAAGAAGAAAAATGCAAATTCGATAAGTGGTTTGAATAAATGATGTAAATGTTGACATGTCAGTGTGATTATGTTAATTCATTCAATTTCATACATGAATATATATAGTTTTGTGTATATGAATTAAATGCTTTATTTTTTATAATTTTATGTGTATAAATTAAGAGATTCCCCATCCTGAAGGCTACGTCTTCTTGGCACTGAAACTCCAAATAAGGCTCGTCTCCAAAGAGTTAATCTTGTCTATTTTGTAGTTAAATCTCACATTTAGAGGAATATTAGAAATTATTTATATTTTATGTGCGCTTTGAAACTGACTTTTACAAAACACATACACTTGAGCAAGTTTGTGAAGATAATAAATGCCTATACATGTGACTTTTATTTTAATAACACTTGTTTATGTTAACAGTTTATCCTTGTTTGATATTTTTATCAGACAGTTGTAAAACATTTCTTTTTGAGTAAAATATTTCCGAAAATTTTGTAACAAATATTAATTTATATTAAAAAAACAAATACTAATGACTGTATTCAGTATCCTTCTATTACATGACATCAGATGTTTTTATTTTTAATTTTTTAATTGCATATCCCTAAAATAGATATTTCAGAAAATCAATATGTATTTTTGATTGTGTTTCGGGGGAAAAAAAGAGAAATTCCTTTTTTAGCATATTTATAAGAGTAGGAAATGTTTATGTTTGTATCTGCATGTAATTACTTATACATGGGTTAACGATGTTTCCAAGAATAAAAAGAACATTATTTAGACTAATGTAGAGCATTAAAAGAGAACAAAACAAATTCCAGTGAATAAAGAGGTTAAGAAAAGACACTGGTATCGGATAGAACACACGTGAGATAAACCCAAGAATACTATTACTAGCATGTCTTTACACTGGAGCCCACAGTGGCATACAAATAAAGGCATCCCAAAAAACATGGAGGAGGTAACTAGAAAGTAAAGTTGAAAAGAAGATAGGGGGGTCAGGGAGAGAGCTGCTTGAGATAGCAAAAGGATAGAATGATTTGACAAGAACTGTGCCTATTGTCCATTGGAGGGTATGTAAAAAAAAAAAAATATGTATTCTTTATTAAGCTAATTTTTTAAAAGTCCTGAAATTTAATATGTTTGTAAGTAGGGCTTTTTTCTTAGAATGAAAGGTGATATACTCCCCACAAAAGTGTCTAAAAAAGGT